CTGATGGAGGTGGTGAATTCAAAGCGTTCTCTAATTACCTCTCAGATAATGGCATTCTCCATAGATACTCTTGTCCTTATACACCCGAGCAAAACGGATTGGCAGAAAGGAAGCATAGAACCATAACAGAAACAGGTCTTTCACTTCTTGCTCATAGCCAAGTTCCCTCTTCACATTGGGATTCAGCCTTTCAAACTGCTGTTCACCTTATAAATATAACCCCATCAAAACCCTTGCATTACTTAACTCCATTTGAAGCATTATACAAACAGAAACTAGATTACAAGCACCTTAAAATTTTTGGCTGTCTTTGTTTTCCTTATTTAAGACCATACAACCAACATAAGCTTCAATTCAAGAGTGCTCATCCACTTTTTTGGGTTATCATGCTCAATACAAAGGCTATAAAGTGCTTTTACCTAACAAGAAGGTCATAATCACAAGACATATAGCCTTTGATGAGTCCAAATTTCCTTTTCATAGAATTCTTCCAGCCCCAATTTTGCCCACCACCATCCCCACTATTTCTCCTTTCAGCCATGATATAGTCTCCTCCTCTTTTACACAACCCTCATACTCCTACACATCCACCCCATTCTTCTTCATTTTCACCTACAACATCTTCCCCTTCCAACAACAATAATCATCCTCAACCCACATTATCTTCATCATCCACATCCTCTCCTTCACCACACAATACTCATTCTCAGCCATCATCTCCTCAGTCATCTCAAATTTTTTCACAACATTCACCCCAGTCTTCTCATTCTCATATTTCTTTAGATGATGGTGGACATCCCTTTATTGACTTGCCAATAGAGATTAATGATCAGTCTGAGACTATGCCTTCTAATCTTTCTATTGAGATTGCAGGTACACATCACATGAAGACCAGATCTAAATCTGGCATTTTTAAGCCCAAAATTTTTCTTACAGATACTATTCTGCCCGAACCTCACACATTGCATGATGCCTTATCATGTCCACAATGGTTCACTGCCATGAAACAATAAGATGATGCTCTCATTCATAATCAGACATGGGACTTAACTCCTCTTCCAGCTGACAAGGATGTCATAGGATGAAAATGGATTTTTAAAACCAAAAGAAATGCTGATAGTTCTCTAGCCAAGTATAAGGCTCGACTTGTAGCCAAGGGCTTTACTCAATCCCTTGGCGTTGACTATACGGAGACATTCAGCCCTGTTGTAAAGCCTACTACCATCAGAGTTGTCCTTTCTTTGGCTCTGTCCAACTCTTGGCACATTAGACAACTTGATGTAGCTAATGCATTCCTCAATGGTGAACTAGATATGGCTCTATATATGGAGTAACCTCCAGGCTTCTCCATCAAAGGTAAAGAGCATTTGGTTTGCGAACTCCACAAATCTATTTATGGATTAAAACAAGCATCAAGGGCCTGGACAAGCAAATTTGCTTCAATCCTTCACAAGTTTGGTTTCCAAACCTCTAAGGCAAATAACTATCTATACTATAGCAAAAAAGGCTCTTCATGCATCCTTATTCTTGCTTATGTGGATGACATTGTCATCACAGGTAATGACACTAATGCAATCACTGAGGTGATTAATAAGATGCAACAGTGTTTTGCACTCAAAGATCTTGGTCATGTCAACTACTTCTTGGGAATAGAAATAACTCAGCATAAGGATGCTCTTCACCTTTGTCAAAAGAGATACATCAAAGAATTACTAATTAGAGCTGGCATGCACAAAGCAAAGAGCTTGTCTACCCCTATGATTTCCAGCCCTCCATTATCCAAGCATGATGGCACTCCTTTCTCTGATCCTAAGTTATACCGCAGCCTAGTTGGAGCATTACAATATGCCACTTTAACAAGACCTGAGATAAGCTTTAGTGTAAATAAAGTTAGTCAATTCATGCAAAATCCTCTGGACAAACATTGGAAAGCATTTTAAGGTACTTATCTGGCACTTTAAATTATGGCTTGAAGTTTGTTCCCTCTGAATCTCACACATTTACAGCTTACTCGGATTCCGATTGGGCCTCGGATGTGAATGATAGAAGGAGTACTTCTGGTTTTTGTGTTTTCTTGGGGAGCAATTTGGTTTCTTGGACTTCAAAGAAACAACCAACCGTCTCTCGTTCAAGCACCGAAGCAGAATACCGCAGCCTAGCCTTGGTTATTTGTGAAGTTATTTGTCTTAAAACCTTGTTACAGGAACTTCACCTTCCTTTATCTCGGCCACCTATTGTATGGGTTGACAACTTAGGTGCCATCTCCCTTGCGGAAAATCCAGTTAATCATGCACGTACCAAACATTTGGAAATCGACCTACATTTCATTAGAAGAAAGTTTCGCGCAAAGAAGTTACTGTAAACTACGTCCCTGCACTAGATCAAGCGGCTGATATTTTCACAAAGCCCTTATCCGGCCAATTCTTCACACGTCTGCGAAACAAGCTTCATGTTGTTCCTCAGGGCTCGCTTGAATTGAGGGGGGATGAAAGACATTCAACATGCACGTAATTAACAGCTCATCAACTTTATGTCCATGGCCATGCGTAGTCAGCTTTTATATTTTTTGTCTTGTAGCTTTTTATTGTTAGCTCTCTTTATATTTCTCCCTTAGCTAGATGATGTAACTAGGTTACAGGAAGTGTTATTTTATTCAATGAAGATGGCGGCTGAACTATTTGCATCTGCTTGTTCTCGTTTTGCAAACACTGGCTCGCCTCCCATTATTAGGAGCCTCAATTTTATTTTAATTTTTTTTTTTTTATGTTTTATGTATTTATGTTTGGTTTTGTTTATTTATACAAATAAAAGGACTAATAACTAAATATAAATTTGGCTCATTACACAAATGAAGAGGCTAATTAATAAATGAGTAATAGCAAAATATATACTTTGTGTAGAAATTTGAGGCCCCAAATATTTCATTTGTTTTCTTATGATGTTCAGTCAGAACAGTTGTGTGAGAATGAATATTCTTTGTTGTAATACGATTTTTATTTTCTCTTATTTGTTGTCTTCGTGACTGTTTAAATGTAATTTATAATTTATTAAAGGTAATTTTTCAATGTCTAAAAAAAAAAGAAAAACTATTTTTTTATTATTTATTTATTTAATAGTCTTGTTTAATTAGACTTTTTCTTATATGATTCTATCTACAAATAATCCTACCACGCAAGTTCAAATCGGAAAATTCGAAAAAGTAAAATTTGTCTAGGGCCTCCAAATTTCTGAAGACGACCCTGGGTAAGAGTTATTAAACGTTATATTAAAGATGTTGCTGGATGTTTCAAGATTACCCTCGTATTTCTTTTATGATATTTGATTATGCCAAAAAGCTGATTCATGACTTTATTTTAAACATGTGATTTTTTTTATAAGTATTAAATTTCATTTGACCGTGGATGTCAACTTATTTCTACATTAATTTTTGGTGCATATATTTGCACTTATTTTCGTAATTTTTAAAATGTAGATTTAAATGAAAATAAGCTTATTACTTATTTGTTTTTTCTTTTTTTATTGAGAATAAGATCATATCCCAAGAACATACCAATGCGTGTTTTTTTTTTTTTGGTGGTTGTAAAAATTATTCTAATAATATTACATTCTTATCTCTTAAACATATGATTATATTTAAATGGTAAAAAAAAATGTTAGGAATTCGAGGTTCTCCAAAATCTTGGTGTCCTTATTTTTTTAAACATGGTATGTTAAAACTAACCACTTCAGATGTTTAGAAATTATAAAATTGTTGGAATTTTCGAGTCTAACAATATATTGAGATATACTTGATTTTTCATAAATCTACATTTTTATTGTTGCCATATGAGAATTTCAATGTTATTTTTGAATACACTTGTTTTTCTTTTACATGTACATAATAAAAAAGAAGTTTGGGATTATAAAAATCACTTACCGTTTATCTTCTTATTCTCACTTGAGTTCAAGTAAAATAAATAATAAGAATAAATCATATCCATCTGTTAAATTATTACCATTTGACTTGCCTCTACCTAATTGTCATAGTTGTTAGTCATTATAATACACATTTAGGCTTTCAATTGTGGGAAGTTGGGTAAATTGACAGTCCTTTCTCATATTCACGTTCAATTCGGGAAAGGGTCGTGTAAATAAACCCAACTCTTGAATGTCATAGACAAAATTATGTAAAATTAACAAAATCCACTACAATGAAAAGAGACTAAGTCTTTATTTGGGACTAAAATAAACTTAAGGATAGACCATATATCTTGTTCTGACTGCCACATCAGTAGGACCCATACTATTTTTATTTGCATTGGATAATATATTTGTTTAGAGTGGGTCTATTTTTAAGGTTACAAATAATTTGTTGTGATTGAAAACAAAGAGTTGTGGATGCTCTTAAGAAAATTATGCAGCAAGGAATAACAGATTCACCTTTTGCTCTATCTGGGTAGGTACTTCACATTCAATGCATGTATTTAATTTACTTCCAAATTCCAATAGTAACAACTTCTGCTAGAGAAAATCAAATCAGTATGCATAACAAGATTAATAATACAACAGAAAGAAAAGAAAAAATATCTGGATAAAATTATTTATTACTAAACCACTAATTACAAATTTACATTTCTTTATGTTTTTTTCCATATTCTAGAACTGAGAAAAAAGAATGAAATAAGAGGACATTTTTTTGAGATGTTACGGTCCGTTACGAAACTATTTTGTCGAGTTTGTATCCGTTTAATTATCATGTAACCGTTGGAGATAGTTGATATAACGGTTATAAATCTCGACAGAATGATTCCGTAACAAGACTCTTACCTTTTCCTCATTTTTTAAATCACACATTATCGCATCTCTTTATTTATAAACCAAAAGAAACCAAAAATTACAGCGAACTCATTCAAATCCAAACTCAAATCTATCATACAATATTAAAGAAGAAAACATGTCTTAGCTAAGTCAATTCATCACTCCCAATTCCATCCCCTCCAAATCCCCCACCGCCGGAAAATATGCTACGGCACCACCACCATCACTGCCATCTCCACCTCCTCCTCTTCCTCCTCATTCTCCTACCCCCTCCACTTATCCTTTGCCTAAACCAAGAGGGCTTGTACCTCCAGCGAGCCAAGCGCAGCTTCGACGACCCAAACGGCGCCCTCTCCGACTGGAACTCCGGTGATGACACCCCCTGCAACTGGAACGGCGTCGTTTGCGACTCCTCCACCGGCTCCGTCATTTCGCTGGACCTTTCCAGCTCCAGCCTCTCCGGTCCGTTCCCTTCCATCGTCTGCCGCCTCAACAGCTTATCCTTCATTTCCCTCTACGACAACTTCATCAACTCCACTTTACAGGAGGACGAACTCGCTCTGTGCCGGTCGGTGGAGCACCTCAATTTGGGGCAGAACTACCTCACCGGCGCGCTTCCCCAAACGCTAGCTGATCTCCCGAACTTGAAATACCTCGATTTGACAGGAAATAACTTTTCCGGCTCAATCCCCAACAGTTTTGGGACCTTCCAGAAACTCGAGGTGCTTTCCTTGGTTGAGAATTTGCTCGAAGGCACGATTCCGGCGTTTCTCGGGAATTTATCGACGTTGAAGCAGCTGAATCTCTCGTACAACCCGTTTGCTCCGGGTCGGGTACCGCCGGAGCTGGGGAACCTCACCAATCTGGAGGTGCTGTGGCTGACTGAGACTAATTTAATCGGCGAAATACCCGATTCGCTGGGTCGACTTGGGCGGCTGACAGATTTGGACCTCGCTTACAACTCGCTCACCGGTCCCATACCGAGTTCGATCACCGAGTTGGCCAGCGTTGTCCAGATAGAGCTGTACAATAACTCGCTGTCTGGCGAGTTGCCCAGCGAGGGTTGGTCGAGGATGAAATTTTTGAGGCGGCTCGACGCGTCCATGAATGGCCTGACTGGGACGATCCCCGCCCAGTTGTGCGAGTTGCCGCTCGAGTCGCTTAATCTTTACGAGAATGACCTGCGAGGTGAGTTGCCGGAAGCCATTGCAGCTTCTCCCAACTTGTATGAACTGAGGCTTTTCCAGAATAAATTGTCCGGAGCTTTACCTGCGAATCTCGGTAAAACCTCGCCGTTACGGTGGATTGATGTCTCAGCCAACAAATTCATCGGCCGAATACCAGAAGGATTGTGCAGTAAAGGGGCTCTGGAGGAGCTTTTGCTGATTGACAATTCATTTTCCGGCGAGATCCCGGCGAGTCTATCTGAATGCCGGAGCTTGTTGCGGGTGAGATTAGCCCACAACAGCTTCTCCGGCGAGATCCCTGCGGGATTCTGGGGACTTCCACACGTTTCGCTTCTTGAGCTCACAGGTAATTCCTTCTCCGGTGGAATTGAAAAAAGTATTTCCGGTGCCTCCAATTTATCTCAGTTGATTTTATCAGGGAACAACTTCTCCGGTAGCTTACCGGAGGAGATCGGGTTTTTGAGTAGTTTGCTTGAGATTTCTGTTAACGACAACAAATTATCAGGGTCCTTACCAAGTAGCATTGTGAAACTTGGCCAATTAGTTAAGCTAGATCTCCATAATAATCAGTTGTCCGGTGAGCTACCAAGTGGAGTTCATTCATGGAAGAAGCTAAATGAGTTGAATTTGGCGCTAAATGGTTTTTCCGGTAACATTCCAGACGAAATCGGGGATTTATCCGTCTTAAATTACCTCGATTTATCGGGAAATCAGTTCTCCGGTAAAATCCCCCTTGGATTGCAGAACCTGAAGCTCAATCGCCTAAATTTGTCGGATAACCATCTCTCGGGCTATATTCCACCTCTGTACGAAAAGTCCATGTACAAAGATAGCTTTTTAGGAAATCCGGGTTTGTGTGGGGATATTGAGGGTCTTTGTGACAGAAAAGACCCAGGCAACAATACAGACTACGCGTGGCTATTGAGATCGATATTCGTGTTTGCTGGCTTGCTCCTCATTGTTGGTCTGATCTGGTTCTACGCCAAGTACCGTAAATTCAAGAAGGTTAAATCGATGGAAAAATCAAAATGGACACTCATGTCATTCCACAAACTGGGATTTAGTGAGAACGAGATTTTAGATGCCCTGGATGAGGACAACGTGATGGGAACTGGCTCATCCGGCAAGGTCTACAAGGTTGTCCTAACCAATGGAGAGGCAGTCGCCGTGAAAAAGCTGTGGGGCCGCCCAAAGTCTGCCGATCAGGAGAACTGTGACTTGGAGAAAGGGAGTTCAAATTTTCCGGACGATGGCTTTGGTGCTGAGGTCGACACATTGGGGAAAATCCGGCACAAGAACATCGTGAAACTGTGGTGCAGTTGTACCACGAGGGACTGCAAGCTGTTGGTGTACGAGTACATGCCTAACGGAAGTTTGGGGGATTTACTCCACAGCACGAAAGGTGGATTGCTCGGTTGGCCTATCAGGTTTAAGGTGGCCATGGATGCAGCCGAGGGGCTCTCTTACCTCCACCACGACTGTGCGCCCCCGATCGTTCATAGGGACGTGAAATCAAATAATATATTGCTCGATGCTAATTATGGGGCGCGTGTTGCGGATTTTGGGTTGGCCAAGGCATTTGAAGTGAATGCCAAGGGTACTAAGTCGATGTCCGTCATTGCTGGGTCTTGCGGCTATATTGCTCCAGGTTTGGTTTAGTTGGTAAAAAATTTGCTTCTCTGGTTTTAATCATTTGCCAAATTACGTTTACAGTTACTATTTTTTGGGATTTTTTTTCAGAATACGCGTACACGCTCCGGGTGAACGAAAAGAGCGATATTTACAGTTTCGGGGTGGTAATTCTTGAGCTGGTGACACGAAAGCTCCCGGTGGACCATGAGTTCGGGGAGAAGGATTTGGTTTCGTGGGTGTGCACCACACTGGATCAGAAGGGGGTGGACCATGTGATCGACCCGAAGCTCGATTCTTGTTTCAAGGATGAAATATGCCGAGTCCTTAACATAGGCCTCCTCTGCACGAGCCCACTTCCCATCAACCGTCCCTCAATGAGACGAGTGGTCAAGATGCTCCAAGAGATTGGCGGCGGCAGCAGCAACAACCAACACAAGGCTGCTGGGAAAGACGGTAAATTGACGCCTTATTACTATGAAGATGCATCCGATCACGGGAGTTTACCTTAAATCGACGGATTCTTATAAAAAAAAAAAATTATTGATGATAATGCCATCTGGGAGTCGTTAAATGAAAATCAGCCACCGGAGTTTTGCACGGCCTAAATTTGAAAAGATTGTGCATTTAATACCTTTCTGTTATGTGTGTGCTGCTGTAGGGGAAAAAAAATTCCTGAGTAGGGGTTTTCTTATTATTTGCAGTTAATGGAAACTCAATTTCCTCGTGATATAAAGTACAGTGTATGGACCAGTGGATTTTACTATTATTTTAAACTTCACTGTCTGGGAACTGCTTCACTGCATTTATTTATGCCTGGGAAGTTCGTTTTTTTTGTAGAGTGGGCATTAATTGGGTTTCATAGTCTTGCCATGAGTAGTCATTTGCCAAGTTGGGCCCTGTTTTCAAATCAGTCCATATCTGAAATTCCTTCCTTTTCATGTTTCTATAATGGATGTGTCTATCATATTTTTTAATATGCATACTTACACGAAGATGTTACGGTTCTGTTACGGAATCATTCCGTTGAGGTTTGTAATCGTTAGATCAGTTATGTCTCACGATTACATGATGATCTAACGGTTACAAACCCCGACGGAATGGTTCGTAACGAGACCTTAGCATTTCCCATACTTACATATTTAAATGTCACATGACATTTCGTAATAAAAGTATTAATATTTGTTCAAAAAGTGTAATCCATTGATTTATATCACAACTAGAGAGTATAATTTAGGGAAATTTTTATACCTACTGCATGAAATAAAATATATTCCAAATTTACCGTCCAATATCAAATATTTGGCTATATAGCTAATGGACAAAAAATAATTACGAGACTGCCTAAATATCTGTGATGACCATTTATAACGTCCACCATTCCTAATATATTGGGTCTGATTTCCGCAACCTGACCAAAAAAAAAAANNNAAAAAAAAAAAAAAAAAAAAAAACTGAAAGATCATAAATCAGAATTTTCAACGTGAAAATCATATCTAAACCAGAGAAATTAGAAGATATGAGTTTTGAAATTTAAACGAGTTCAATAATCGCGACGAAAAAAAACAAATGAGGTGATCGATCGGAGATTCCAGGAAGTATATATTCACTCGACATATACTTGCAGAACAAGGTCAACCGGGGATTACAGGAAGGTAACTTTGGCGATAGAAATGAGGTATATTTAGTGTAATTTTAACGGATATTCAAAAACTACATAATTTTATTTTGTTGATTTTGAAGGTTTTATTTGTGATATAATAGTTTCCGACAAATAATTAACGGAACATGTGTACTTTAATTTTTTTTTTGTTTTTTTGTTCGTGTTTTTGTTTTTTCGTGACTTATTAGTTATATATACCAAAAATATACTGTACATATACTAAAATATGTAACAAGTGCAGAAAGTCAGTGACAAAGTGTATAAAGTGATAGCGGACGGTAAAGCCTTTATAGTGGACATGGAGTCAAAGTCCTGCACATGCCATCGTTTTCAAGTTGATGAGTTGTCGTGCCCGCACGCTATACGTGTTATAAAGTCACTCCACTTGGATCCAGTTCCATCCAGTTCCAGTTCCATTGCTATATAATTTGAATTGTTATTAATTCATTATTCTGGAGATTGTATTTGTGTTGTATTAATATGCGTATGTTTGTCTTATAATATGGGTATATTTGTGTTATATTATGGGTGAGTATAAAGATATCTGAAAAAAATGTAACTTAACAGTGCATATACCCCACATATAATCAGAATTAAACATAAAAAGAGTGTAAGTTCAACTGATACGTAAAATCAGGCAATCACAAGTTCATATACATCAAAATATATCCATATTAAGTGCAAGAAAAAAGGACGAAAAAATTCAACTTAGTATCAAACTAATTACCAAAAGAGAAAGGTTAGATATACCCAACATATAACCAGATAACATAGCATAGAAAGATTATAAGTTTGAATTTTTTCTTAATATGGAACAATAACATTGGATATACCAAACATATACCCATATATAAAAATAAAAAGAGAAAAGTGACATTGGATATACCCAATATATAACTAGTCATAAATGTTGTACGCCAATTGTTCGACAAAAATAAGTCCACATCTAAATTGTCAAATACACCACGAAAAAAAATAATAAAATGGTCTACAATGATTTCCCCGTATCTAGCAAATCGAACAGAACTTCATCAGGGACACTACCGGGTGATTTGTCGTCACTATTGCACTCATTAATCTGTTTCATTCGGCCATGAGTGTGGAGCAGATATCCATATCTTTCCCTTTGAGAATTGACATCAAAGTTCTCCTTGGTAATGTTACGACCCGAAATGAAATGTTCGGCAAATGGTGATCTCCTAAAAGCTTCCAATTGTTCAGTCGTAAAAGTCCTCTTGATTCCGTTTATCGTGGATCAATCTTTGTTGTTATCGTTGCTGTTTGGACCTTCACATTTATGTCCTTGGGGTGCGGGATGAGCAATTGCCATTCCTGAAAAAATAAAAATAATTAACATATATATTATAAAGAGAAATGTCGACCAACTATAATAATTAAATGATGTCTGAACTACTAATATATTGAGAAATCAAGATCAATAAAAAAAGTCTGAAAAATATGCCCTGCAATTAAGCATGTTTTGTTTAATATACTAAAAATATTCTAAAAAAAATGCCCTCCAATTAAAAACCAAATGTTGTGACAAATAGTTGCATTATTAACTTAAAATCATGCAAATAAAACTTGCATATATTAAAAAGTTGTACTACAACTATACTGAGCATTGCAATATAATCATATGACAAAAGAATTAAACTTTTAAAGACAGCCATTGCAATAGACCTTGAATATACCAACAATATACTATATTTGTAATGAACCCCCTACATAACACAATTTGGACAAGAAAAACTACATGACTGCAAAAACACAATGACAGAGTGATATGTACCTGTAAATAAACTTAAATATTACTAACATACAATCCACAAATATAATTGTTGGAATTCCATAAACAATAGTCAACAAATAGTATAACAGATCCCACATATACTCGGATTGTACTAACTATATACTAACAAATGAACAACCACAAAAACATTCCACACATATAATTGTTAGAATACAACAAAAATTACTCAACACATACTAAACATGTCCCACATATACTTGAATTATACTAACTATACACTAAATGATGTTGAATCAGTTACAATATATTCATACTATTAAAAATATCATGAAAAACTAGGAATACAATCCAAGAAACAAACCATATCAGTTAAGATACCAATTAAGGCCAAAAATTCAAACCAAGCTGCCAAACATCAATATTTGATGCAACAAATCATGTTTCATCATTGCGCTTCATGGATGGCATAAATTTGAATAGAACTGTGTTTCAGAGGTAATCAGAACCGGGAGACGAAGTAGGTTTTTTCATTCTTGCCTTGCCGGAAAACTTGCGACTAGGTTTAGGGTTCGAATTTTTCTCGAAAATTAGTTTTTTTTAACGAGTTTTGATTGAATTTTTGGGAGAACACTACAAAAAAAACTCTTACATTCCAACGGAAATTTTCCGTTGGAATTCTTTATATTTTCCGTTGGAATAGCTATTCCAACGGATATTCCTACGTATAAAAATCCGTGGGAAAAATGGCCGTTGGAATAGCTAAAATCCAACGGAAAATCCTATAGAAATAAATTCCTACAACTATTCCAACGAAAAAAATCTGTTGGAATTCCTAAACCATCCAACACTTATTCCAACATAAAATTAAGTTTGTTGGAATATTCATTGAAATTTCCAACGAAAATTTTTGCCGTTGGAATTTTTCGTTGGAATTGAAGTTTTTCTTGTAGTGGAAGTTTACGGAACCGGGCACTCGATCTTATAACCGGTGAAATGACCGCGCGTCCTCTTTCCCGTATGTTCTTTTTTCTCTGTGTGGCGGCTCCCCGTGGCTTTCCTCTGTTATTCGTGCGTGAATTGATATTCTCCCTTTTTGGTCATAAGTGGGCTAGTTGATGAAATTAATTTGAGCCCACTAATTTCCATATCTCCCAGCCGAAGGTCATTGGTTGATCTTAATTTTGACCAATCAATTCATGGACAATAAACCGCCCATAATATGTCTTACTTCCGTACTTGGCCTAAATTGGGCTAACTCGGGCTGGTACGGGGTACTCCGCGCTGGCCTACTCAATTCTTATCCGGTTCCACATCACTCATTAAAATACTCTAATATCCTGAAAATAAAATATTAAAATATCAAAGTACAATAATCCATTCGATAACTAAATAAGTTGAAAAATATATAAGTGCGACAAAACTAAGCATATAAAAATACGCTAATGAATATATAAAACACACACTTTTTTCGACCAATCAAATCTCCCCAAACTTAAACCGTTGCTTGTCCCCAAGCAACTTAGAACTAAAAGCACATAGATGGACAAGAAAACAAGTACGTGGAACTTTACCCAGAGCCTCACAATTCTCACATAAGTGCATAGTTCAAACAACTCAAACCAATTTATCCGGACTCAAGATGAACTCATTCTAAGAACGCAAACACATCAAGTATCAATCCAAGTGACCACCATAATTTGTCAATCTATATAACGAATGCACCGATCAATGCAACTAATGACACCTCTCTCTTTGCTAAAAAGTCTAGTTTCTTTTCATTTATAGCCAAAGTCTAAATGTCTCATTCTCCAAACTTTTTTTTTCTCTCTCTTTTTTTTTTATTCTCTCTCTTTTTTTTTTCGAAGTAGGGAACGACAGCTCCGTCACAACCCGCGGATTTTAGCCTTTCGTGATTGTCTCTATACAAGAATTATTGGATTTATACACTAGAGCCCCCCACGAATTGGCAGCTGTTGCAGCCCATGACTTTTCTTTTCTTTTTTTTTTGTGCCAATGGTTTTTCAACTCCACCAATTATTCGTCCATCTTCATTATTCTTTTTTTTTCGACTATGAGACATAGAAACCCCAACTTTC